TAAAAGGAGAAAAGGAGGGAGTATACATAGGTCAACAGACAGGGACGGGACAAGGAAGGTAGTAGGAAAGGAAGAAGAGGAGTAGTGGAAAAGGTAGTAGTAGTGGAGTCAGTCAAAGACTGAGAGGAACACTGCAAGGGAGCTAGGGGCCCATAAAGGGCAGGAACAAGAACGCAGAGAGGGGTAAAATAATAATGGACCAAACAAACAAGGCAGAAGAAAGGAAATCCAATGGAGAAAGGGGAAAGAGGAAAGGGGAAGAGGGAGAAGGGGAAAAAAGAATCAGGTTAAGTCACGGGTGTTCTGAAGTTTGGAGCATTTCACAATGTTATGGGAAAGGAAGGCATCTACAGAGACAAAGCCATGACTAAGACACATACAAGGAAAGTTGTGTATGAGGAAGAATGCAACCAGACGGTGACTGTGAAAGTTAGAAGTAGAGTAGACAGTTTTTGCAGAAGACCAGTCAATAGGATAACTGTGATATCTAACATGACAGAACAGAAAAGAACATTTTTGGTGTCGGCAAGCCTAACACTACTTTTGTGCTCTCTAAGTCTGTCAGAAAGACAACGGCCACTTTCTCCAAACTACTGAAGAGGACAAGAGGAACAAGAAATAGAGTAGACACCAGTGGCATCTATAGAGGGAGGAGAGATATGAACTAGATTGGTGCGAAGAGTGTTAGTCTGGCGAAAAGTAAGTTTGATGTCTAAGGAACGGAGAGTTGTTGAGATTAGAAAGACTGGAAATATAGGAAAGGCAGAGGACAGGAGAGTTCCAGGAGTAGAGAGTTTGGGAGAGAAGAAAGTCCGTTTAGCACTTGAGAAGGCAAAGTCTATGAAATGAGAAGGGTAGCCAAGATGGGAAAATGATGCTACCCACACCAGTCGACTAACACCCAGGTACCCATTTTATACTGATAGGTGAACAGGGACAGCAGGTGTCTTATGGAAGCACGTTCCTAATGTTTTCCAGCTGTACCGGAGATTTGAACTCCCAACCTCAATGTGTGAGTTGAGTGCGCTAGCGGTCGCGCTACGGGACACCCAACTGAACTCATTCCCTCGGCCTAGGAGCTTTAACAACGGATCTGTTCTTACACCTGTATGAGAAAATTACACCTATATTAAAAGACAAGAACACCAATAAAAGATCCTTCACGAAAGACATGTCAGCATGGCATGACAGCTGGAAAAATAAAATGGGTGGTTTGGACTGGGCTGTCTTGGACGACAGTGGTCCTGAGGGTGCTAGTGTTGTCCTGGAGGACAGTGCTCCTGAGGGTGCTAGTATTGTCCTGGAGGACAGTGCTCCTGAGGGAGCTAGTGTTGTCCTGGAAGACAGTGCTCCTGAGGGTACTAGTGTTGTCCTGGAGGACAATGGACCTAAAGGAGACATTAGCCCTGGTGATGAAACAAGTAAGGACAACGGTATTCAATTCAATGTGTCCTGAGATCTGCTCAAGACACATTCCATTAAGAAAAAGAAAAAGAAGTTGTAAACTAGAAAGAGAGAGACGCTCCCTATACAGGCAAAGGCGAAGAGTCACCGAACTGCTGAGAGGGGCCAATATGTCTAAAATACGAAGGGAAGCACTAGTCAATGAAATAGCAAATATCGAACTTAAGCTGAAGGAATCTTACATGAGACAAGAATCACAGGAAGAACTAAAAGCCATAAAGGAAACTGGAAAAAAAATGCTTCTTCTCTTATGCTAAATCTAAGGAAAAAACAACATCCAGTATTGGGTCCCTGCTTAGGCGGGATGGGACATACACAGATAACAGCCAAGAAATGAGTGAGATATTAAAGTCCCAATATGACTTAGTGTTCAGTTAGCCGCTGCCCAGATTAAGGGTCAACAATCCACATAATCCACATGAATTCTTTATGAACGAAACCTAAAATTTGGTCATCTCAAAAATCTCGAATATTATCCTAAGTTCACAAGACTGAAAAGGCAATAAATGACATGCCTATGCACTCTGTCAAAGGCCCAGACTCATGCAACTCTGTGTTCATCAAGAATTGCAAGAAACCCTTATGGCGTGCCTTCAGCATTCTATGGAGAGGGAGCATGGACACAGGGGTCGTCCCACACACACTGAAAACAACAGACGTAGCCCCACTACACAAAGGTGGCAGTAAAGCAATTGCAAAGAACTACAGACCGAAAACACTAACATCCCATATCATAAAAAAATTTCAGAGGGTTCTAAGAAGCAAGATCTCCAACCACCTAGATACCCATCACTTACACAACCCAGGGCAACACGGGTTTAGAGCAGGTCGCTCTTACCTGTCCCAGCTACTGGACCACTATGACAAGGTCTTGGATGCTGTTGAAGATAAACAAAATACAGATATAGTATACACAGACTTTGCAAAAGTTTTCGAGAAGTGTGACCATGGTGTAATAGCACACAAAATGCGTGATAAAGGAATAACAGGAAAAGGTGGTAGATGGATCTATAACTTCCTGACAAACAGAACACAAAGAGTAATAACAAACAGAGTAAAGTCCCAGGCAGCCACAGTGATAAGCTCTGTTCCACAATCATTTCTGGCATAGTCAGAGATGTCTTCCTTTGCGGATGACACCTGGATTCCCATGGCAGTGACCTCTATCGAAGACACTGCGAGACTCCAACCGGACATCAACCAATTCTTTAAATGGGCCACTCAGAACAATATGAAGCTCAACGAGGAGAAATTTCAACTACTCAGATATGAAAAACTTGAGGAAATTAAAACTGTATAAGGATATACAACAAATTCTAACCATACAATAGAGCTAAAATGTAATGTGAAGGACCTGGGAGTGATAATGTCAGAGGATCTCGCCTTCAACGACCACAACAATGTATCTACCTCATCTGCTAAATAAATGATTAGATGGATAATGAGAACCTTCAAAACTAGGGATGCCAAGCCCATGATGATTTTCTTCAAATCGCTTGTGCTCTCTAGGCTGGAATACTGCTGTACACTAACGGCCCCCTTCAAGGCTGGCAACACTGCAGACTTGGAGAGTGTACAAAGAACTTTCACGGCACACATAAGTGCGATAAGGCACCTAAATTACTGGGAACGGTTGAAGGTCCTTGATCTGTATTCCCTGGAATGCAAGCGAGAGAGATACTTAATAATATACACTTGGAAGGTCCTGGAGGATTGGTACCAAACTTGCACACGAAAATCACTCCCTCTGAAAGCAAAATACTCGGCAGGAGATGCAACATTCCTCCGATGAAAAGCAGGGGTGCCACGAGTACACTGAGAGACAACACAATAAGTGTCCAGGGCACAAGACTGTTCAACTGCCTGCCAGCATACATAAGGGGGATTACCAATTGACACCTGACTGTCTTCAATAAGGTACGAGACAGGCTGTGGTTCGTACGTCAGTTTACGTGCGGCTAGCAGTAACAGCCTGGTTGATCAGACCCTGATCCATCATAAGGCTTGATCTCTTACCGAGTCGCGGGGGCATTGACCCCGGAAACCCTCTCCAGGTATACTCCAGGTAAACATCCAGTCAATGTCACCTCGTCTATGAACTCAAATTAAGTTGTGATAAATAACTGTCAATGGATAAACAGAGGAAGGACGGGGCGCGAACCGCCGCCCTTAAATTGACAGTCGGACGGTACTCTCTGTAATGAATTAATAAAGCCACTAGTTGGCGAACCATCTTCAGAATAATGATACCCAGGTGTTGCACTTGAGTCTTTCTCGTCGGTTCAATGTATTTTTAAACATTTCTTCCAGGTTTGACCTAAGATATATATACAGTGGACCCCCAGTTAACGATATTTTTTCACTCCAGAAGTATGTTCAGGTACCAGTACTGACCGAATTTGTTCCCATAAGAAATATTGTGAAGTAGATTAGTCCATTTCAGACCCCCAAACATACAAGTACAAACGCACTTACATAAATACACTTACATAATTGGTCGCATTTGGAGGTGATCGTTAAGCGGGGGTCCACTGTATTTCGAACTTTTCGTTCCTTGATGTCATACTATGTCCGTGTTGTAAATTCTGCACCTGAGGAATGACAGTCACGTTAGATCCAAGGAAAACAGCTATAAATTCATGAATAAAAGACCCTTCACAGGCATCAAGGTACAGTGATACCTCGAATTTCAGCCATAATTTGTTCCATAAGGCTGTTCGAGTGCCGTCGCCGAACGAATTTGTTTCCATAAGAAATAATGTAAATTAGATTAGTCCATTTCAGACCTCCAAAAATGTACTTACAAAAGCACTTACAAAAATACACTTACATAATTATTCGAGTTGGGAGCTGTGGCCTATAACATTAAAATATTTAAATGTTATAAGCCACATAGTTTTGAGTTAACTGTTTTAACTAGACTTGAACAAGAAATAGTTCATCACTTCATATCAGTTATTTATATTTTTCCTGGTTATGCTGGGAAAAAAACAAAGCCTATATATATATGCAGTTTATAAATGTTCTGTGTAGGTAAGCTTACAAAAGTGTGTCTTTCCACAGCTTTTTGCTGTCACCGTGTTATTTGCAGGGAGGAAGTGGACAGGAAGGTGTACATTGATCCTTGAAGAACTGAGACACTTTTGCAACATGTGGGAATCTTTATTGAAGAAACGTTTCGCCACACAGTGGCTTCATCAGTCTTATACAAAGCAGGAAGGTATAAGGAGAGGAGGAGTTTGAGGTAATCAGTCCCTCAGCCTGGAGTCGATGTGTTCAGTCCATCAGTCTTGTAGAAAGTACAACACGTATTCCTATATGTTGCATAAGTGTCTCAGTTCCTCAACTTGTCGGTTTTCAAAACCATTCATCACACAACGATCTTTACTGAAGATTTTTGTTCTGAAACGTTCCATCAGTTAATCAAGGTCCCATCAGTAAAAGTGTCCTAAATGCAAGCATTCGTGTACACTTCCTTCAAACTGTAGTCTTTGACTGGTTTCTACCGTGCTATTTACAACCAAGTGTTTGTGCAGCTGTGTGCGGGTCTGGAGACACTCTTCGGGAACTCCACAGTGGCTGACCTCGGCGCTGGCCTGGGTCACTACGGCAGATGCTTCCTACGTAACACAGAAGGCATGTTGGTCCACTCCAACACGAAAGACATCGATTTTTTGAACACAGAATACCACAAAAAAATGGAAGAGGCCGGGCTTAATGGAACTCCACAGGTCATAAAATCATGGAACGGTATGTCAACTGCGAGAGAAGTGCCTCAGTTTTGCACTCTGCAGATACATTTTGTAGTCTCCATTACTGACTGGCCAACAACAGGTGTAGCAATATATATAAACCTATATATGGAATAATCGTGAACGAGTAATAAAGGATGCAAAATAACCACAGGGTTATCATTCAGGAGAGAGTCGTTCTCCTGGACGAATCTTCCTGAATTTCCTACTCTATTTCTGCAACATTGCAAGCTCCTGATGTGTTCACTGCAACATGAAACGCCTAGAGCTATCATTCAACCTCCCCCTGTAGTTATTTTGCATAAACCTATATAAGCAGTTGGTCATAAACGTATATACGCGGTTTATCATAAACGTATATACGCAGTTTATCATTCCAATGTGAGGTTACATGTCATTATGAGGAATAACACACAATGTACAACATCAAGGTGTCCTTATTTGTAGACTTTTGGCATCAAGAGGTCGTCTCCACAACCTTCTTGCTTACTCCCGGTCCATCCCTTGAGCCAGTAACACTGCAACACCTCATTCAGTCTACCAGTGACAGTGTACCATCTCTTTCAGTCTTCCAGTAATAGTGCATCACATCCCTCACTTTCCAGTAACTGTGCACCACCTCCCTCAGCCTACCAGCAACACTGCTGCGCGTCCCTCAGTCTACCAGTGACAGTGCTGCACCTCCCTTAGCCTACTTTCCACAAAAACCATTGGAGGGCATCTTGGTTCAGACTACAGGGAGTACACTAGACACGTCCTCACTGAGCTAAGTACTAAGTACAGGTCACCACTGAGCTAACCACAGATCTCCACTGAGCTAAGTACAGGTCACCACTGAGCTAAGTACAGGCCTCAATAAAGGTTGATCTACACACACTAATATAGACTCATCCTCTCCCCAGGTAGATCTGTTTGTGACTATATAAAGACCACTTTGTGGGCGAAACGTTGTCAATGAAGGATGGCATTTTGCTGCATCTCTGTTTGTCCAGCGAGAGGATATTTAATACCAATTCCTTGACAAACACATTATTTGTCCCTTACACTTGTCCCTTACACTTGTCCCTTACACTTGTCCCTTACACTTGTCCCTTACACTTGTCCCTTACACTTGTTTTTAACCTGTTATAGAAATAACTAGAGTTATTTGTATATTGTTCCAGTCACAGTATTGTTCCAGTCACAGTATTTTTTTATTTATTTATTTATTTATTTAAAAATTTGTGCACACATACAGAGGTACAAAAAATACAGAAAAGAGCAGTATGCCAAAGCCACTTATACTATGCATAGCATTACGGGCTGGCTTAAAATTAACTTAAGATGAACTAAGCAATGATGACATCGGTGATAAAACTTTAATGTAAACAGATTACTATAAAGCACAAGTGAGTATTACAAAGACAGGTCATATGGTTGTATGCATTGTTGTACATTCAGTAGAATGGAGTATTCTGTTAGGTAGTGTATTTAAAAAATAATAAAGTTAGATTGGGTTTTAGGTTTAACATTTATGTGATATAATTGTGAGAAACATTTAAGATATACAATTTATAAGGTTCAGTTATTCAGTATTTATTTGGTTTTGGGTGAGTAAGTGATCTTTGAGAAGAGACTTGAATTTATAAACAGGTAGTGTTTCTTTTATATTTACAGGTAGTGAGTTCCAGATTTTAGGGCCTTTTATGTGCATTGAGTTTTTGCATAGTGTGAGATGGACACGAGGAACATCAAAGAGTGATCTGTGCCTTGTGTTATGGTCATGTGTTCTGTTGAGGTTGGCAAGGAGATGTTTGAGGGGAGGGTTAATATCAGAGTTAAGTGTTCTATGTATGTAATAGGTGCAGTAATAAGTATGAATGTTTTGTATGGTGAATAGGTTTAGTGTATTGAATATTGGTGGAGTGTGCTGCCTATAGTGAGAATTTGTTATCATTCTAACTGCAGTATTATTCCAGTCACAGTATTGTTCCTTTTCATTCTTTCTGATAACTTTTATCTCTCCAGGATGGGACGGAGCGGCAAATATTGATGAGTTTACTAAAGGGAAGATAGCATCTGTGGACCTTTCGAATCCTGTCAACCTCGGGGAGCCTTTTGACTGGGTGTTGAGCCTTGAGGTGGGCGAACACATCCCTAAGTCAGGAGAGAAGAATTTTATAGACAACCTCGTTAAACATTCGTGTGTTGGTGAGTATTATTATTATTTTGTTTTTTTGCCTTTACCACACCTGCTGCAGGTGTGGTGGTGTCTTCACCTTGGTCTAAACCCACCTGCTGCAGGTGTGGTGGTGTTTTTAGCTTGGTCTAAACTAACCTGCTGCAGGTGTGGTGGAGTTTTTACTTTGGTCTAAACCCACCTGCTGCATGTGTGATGGCGTCTTCACCTTGGTCTAAACTGACCTGCTGCAGGTGTGGTGGTGTCTTCACCTTGGTCTAAACTAACCTGCTGCAGGTGAGGTGGCGTCTTAATCTTGGTCTAAACTGACCTGCTGTAGGTGTGATGGTGTCTTCACCTGGGTCTAAACCCACCTGCTGCAGGTGTGGTGGTGTCTTTACCTTGGTCTAAACTAATCAGCTGCAGGTGTGGTGGTGTCTTTACCTTGGTCTAAACTAATCTGCTGCAGGTGTGGTGGTGTCTTCACCTTGGTCTAGACTGACTTGCTGCAGGTGTGGTGGTGTCTTCACCTTGGTGTAAACAAACCTGCTGCAAATTTTTGGGGGGATGTGGTCTTCACCTTAACTTAAAATGATCATTGTTCCAGGTGTGGTGTTGTCGTGGGCCGTGCTGGGACAAGGGGGACACGCCCATGTCAACTGCCACTCCAATGACCACGTCAGAAAGGAAATGCTCGCCCGGGGTCTAGTAACAGATGAGGTGGCCGAGGAGAAGCTGAGATCTTTGGTCGATATCTCATATTTCAAGAACAGTCTTATGGTTTTCAAGTATCCGAAGAAGAGGTGTTGAGTCCCAATGTTCCCTGCCCATGAACATTCTCCATAAATGTATAATCATTTTTTTCCCTTGTTCCTCTTCCTAAGTCATATATCCTCTGGCCTCAGAGTAATGTATTCACGATTATATCCAACACAATATATATACACACCGAGAGGTGTATCTCTTTCAGTGTATTTATACAGAGTTTGTACGTGTATGGTGTACAATACCGACATGATGAATTACACACATATGCGAAACGTCTACAATAAAGATACCCAGATGTTGTACATGTGTCTAATTCTTCACACAGAGTTTAATCCCTGTTTTAGTAATTCAGATATTCTTGATTGGTGGTGAACAGGAGACATACAGCCTGAATGACCACTCGTGTAGTCGATAGGATTTAAGCACTATTAACTGGTTTCAGACTGGTCACAAATGAGATCGTCGACTCCAGCTTCCACCACTCTTTTGGCTAAATGACCCAACAATAATTTTTTTCCTACCCTTAATGTTCAAAATGTAAAAAAAAAATGCTTTATATACATATTTAAGATGTAAAAACATATAACATATAATAGGCAAAAAAAAAAAAAGGCTTTATATGCATTGAATTTTCCCTTTGGAAATAAATGATATAAAATACCGACACAATGGAAATATAAACACTTAAGCAGTATAACGTGATTCTTTATTGACGTTTCGCCCACATAGTGGGCTTCATCAAGTCACAAAGAGATCTACCTGGGTAAAAGATATGTGAGTATTTATAGGATGGAGTCAGGTGGAGAATGCTGGGTCAGGATAAGTATATGAGTAGACCTTCTGCATTGTTCCTCCATTCTTATATTCATAGGTGGGATAGCGATAAAGAAGTTTCTTGGCAAGAGGTTCAGCTATGTTATAGAAGCCGTTGTTAAGATAAGATAAGATAAGATTTCGTTCGGATTTTTAACCCCGGAGGGTTAGCCACCCAGGATAACCCAAGAAAGTCAGTGAGTCATCGAGGACTGTCTAACTTATTTCCATTGGGGTCCTTAATCTTGTCCCCCAGGATGCGACCCACACCAGTCGACTAACACCCAGGTACCTATTTGCTGCTAGGTGAACAGGACAACAGGTGTAAGGAAACGTGTCGAAATGTTTCCACCCGCCGGGAATCGAACCCGGGCCCTCCGTGTGTGAAGCGGGAGCTTTAGCCACCAGGTAAGTGATGATTCCAGGATTCTTCGGTATTGAGTGTTGTCTTCTCTGGCAATAAGTCTTGCGTTTCTGTAGCTGATTTAATGGTTGTACGAATTTCAGTGTTGAACACAGGCATTCCTTAGATCGTCAGATCTACCTGCGTACTGGTGTTCTGAAATACGTGTTTGGAGGTCTCTGGATATTTCACCCATGTATAATTTGCTGCAGTCATTACAAGGGATTATGTATACCCCTGCAGAGGATGGAAGCTTGTTCTGTCTATTACTGGTGATGTCCTTGATGGTCGTGGTTGTGGAGGTAGATACTTGGAATGAGGTATTGGAAAAGATGTTGGAAACGTGTTTGGCAATGGAGTTGGTGGGGAGGACTATGTATCTCCTCTCGGCAGTGTCTTCTCTGGGTGCGTTTAATGCCCGGCGTCTGCAGTCTCTAATGAAGTGACGAGGATAGTGAAGTTTAGAAAATACTTGTTCAATTAGCGAGCATTCTTCCTCAAGGAACTCATTACTGCAGATGCTGAGTGCGTGCAGAAAAAAGTCTATAATTACACCACGTTTAGTTTTGGTGAGAGTAGAAGTGGTGATCATGTTGGATGGTAGGTTTTCCCTCATTAAATTTGTAAGCATATAAATATTGTATGCGTTCCCATGCCCGGCCCTGTGCGAACTGTACAAAGTATGCATCACTCTCTCCACTTGACCACCATTCTTAAGCACCAGGTGCCCAGCAGTACTGAACGTGTTATCCCTGATGCAAGGACATACCTGGTCATGAAGCTTCAAAGACTAATTTCAACTTTATCCTGTTTGGGGTACCAGCCTTCATGAGCAGACTATATAATGTACAAGAATGATATGCAATACCGACAAGATGAAATTAAGACACATGTGCAACATTTGGGTATCTTTATTGCAGATGTTGCACCATCCAGTGGCTTTATCAATACAAATTCCAGGACATAATTTGAAGACAGTAGAACTATATACAGAAGATGAGGTAATCAGTCCCTCAACCTTGGAGTAGGTGCGAAGAGCACCGCAGTCGTGAAGATTCTGAAGCAGAAGCAAGGAGCCTGGCGCTTATATACTAACGTCAGGTGGAAACGGGGACGTGTAGCAGACGAAGGCATAGTCACTGGTAGGCGGGATTCCCCAGTGGAAGTAGGTCCTGCCCAAAGAGTCGGGTTAGTTGGTGTAGTAGTTGTCGTAGTCGTGAAGGTTATGTGCATGTCCTCAGAATCAAAATTCCATTATGTTGCAGTGTCTGACAAGTTATACAAGAATGGTATACAATACCGACAAGATGAAATTAAGACACATGTGCAACATCTGGGTATCTTTATTGTAGACGTTTCGCCATCCAGTGGCTTTATCAATACAAATTCCAGGACATAATCTGAAGACAGTACATAACCTTCACGACTACGACAACAACTACACCAACCAACCCATCTCTTTGGGTAGGACCTACTTCCACTGGGGAATCCCGCCTACCAGTGACTATGCCCTCATCTGCTACATGTCCCCTTTCCACCTGACGTTAGTATATAAGCGCCAGGCTTATATACTAACGGTGTCTGCAGCCAGCGCCACCTTACCGAGGAATGCATCACCAAGCTGAAAAATGCATCGCCACCCCCTCCACAATGCCCGAGCTGCAGGCAGAAACACCATGCCTGGAATCCTCGATGCCCCGAAAGGTTTGCCAGAATTCAAGGAGCCTGGAAGATGCCAAGAACTTGGCAGCAGGTTACGACAGATTATCACTCTCAGCAGACGATGGGTGCAGAGAACCCTGCCATACTGCAGATCTAACTTCAGGTCACCCAACTCAATGCCCAGGAATTCCCAACCCTCAAAGCCTCGACCAGGCGCCATGGACAGGAGCCTCCTGCCCCCCTACATCAACGAAGAAACAAAAACAAGAGGAACAAGAAGCGTCAACAGGGAACATCTGGTCAACACGATCAGCAGATGGCATTAAACGAGCCCCCACCGGCACAGCCGCTTTGCAGGCTTCCCTGGCAACTCACCAGCAGATGCCGGCTACCCAACCTGGTATACAGCAACAGACCACGGTGCACACAATAAAGAAATCCAACCCTCAGCAGTCCCTACAGACCACAACAGCCCTGGTAATATCCACTGCTTCGAACCCAATGCCAACACAGGCCCTCACCAGGGAGGATCTCGTAGCACTCATCAAGGCGTTCACGGATATTATTTGCAACACAGTCAACTCCATGGAACAACAGAGCGTATTCCAGTAGATGGTCAGTACGCTCCTGAGAGTGTGCTTACTGACCGAGGAGGAGACGGTGGACGCCATGAATTTGCAGGTTCTCAGAGTGGGCAGGACTCAGTCCCCAGCTCAGGAAACAACAGCGATGGAATAACTTCCATACCAAATCACACCCTCAAGGTCCTACAATGGAACATTCAGGGCCTGAGAGGCAAACAGCACCTTTTGCTGGAGGCAGTAATTCAGGATCAGGTTGACATCGTCTTGCTACAAGAAACTCTGACTGTCCCGACTATGTGCCCAAGACTACCCGGTTTTGCTGGTTTTTTTCGGCACATGGACCCGGGCGTTCACTGCAGAGGCACAGCTGTAATCGTATCTGATACAATACCTCACGAGGTTATAGCGAACCCTGTGGACTGTGGGGAGGATGTCGAGGTACAGGCCATCCTAACACACATACCTGGGGCGCCCATTACCATCTATAACATCTACAAAAACCCCAGACACACTCTCGACATTGCAGTGCTTCTCGCACTAGCATGCACTGAGTATATTATTGTAGGTGGAGACTTCAACGCACATCACCCAATGCTGCACTCTCACTCAGCTACCAATGCTGCTGGCAGACACATAGCAATGCTTCTACATGATATTCCAGAGGTAAAGTTGCTAAACAATGGAGACCCCACACACCTGTTGGGTGGCTGCCTCAACCTTACCTTCTGGACAAGACAACTCGCAGCAGGAGCCACATGGGAAACTCATCCTAACATTGTCAGTGACCACCCTGCAGTGATCACCACCTTCAACATCAACAGGACTCCCACAGTTGTGTTGCCTCCTAGATGGGACATAAAGAGAGCCAACTGGAAGGTGTTCCAGGATTATCTTCAGCAGCAGAGTGCGCAATTCCAAAGAAGTCAGCAGGACCCACTCACAAAAGAGACTGGTGGTTCTACAACGATGAGGTGCAGGAGTAGAACCACTGAATCAACTTTTTTAGGAAGCTATACAGGCGTAACCCTACGGCAGAGAACAGGAATACTCTGAGAGCCATTCTGCAGCATGCCCGCAGTCTCTCTCAGAGTAAAAACTGAAAAATGGCTGGAGTGGTGCTCAACATTCGGGCATCAAACCATCTTGTCTGAGATATGGGGGAAACTTAACATCGCAACTGGCAAAAGCAAGCCGAGCCCAGCAGCACACCCGAACCCATCCCAGGAAGCTGAGAAATTAGCGGAGCTCTTCACTTCCTGGGGAGCCTCCACTCAGCTCCCACAGGAATCCGGAATATAGAGACAGATCTCCTGCCACACCACCAGTTAACGATACAAGCTGCATGTGAGTTGGACGATGTGACTAATGAAGACCTCACGGACTTGGAACTTCGACGTGCCATTAAGAAAACAGATGACACTGCCCCGGGCATCGATGGTGTTACGTACTTCATGATTGCACGGGCTGGTCAGAGTGGATGGGAGGCCATACTAGACGTCATAAACAAGTCGTGGAGGGCCTGGACACTCCCAGCAGCTTGGAAGGTGGCTACCATTGTACCAGTCCCAAAGCTCAAGGACCCAGGCAGTATGAGACTCATATCGCTGACCACCTGTTTAGCCAAGATTGCTGACACGATGGTGCTAAACCGCCTCCTATGGAAACTTGGACCCCTGCATCATCACAAATTTGGCTTCACCAAAGGAGTGGGTGCAGCAGAGTGCATAACCACTCTACTAAGCCAGATTGCTGATAGTAACAAGAAACCTAGTATCATCGTCTATCTCGACCTTGTGAAGGCATTTGAGCTAGCCAGCC